AAAATGCAGGTAGGTGCCTAGCGGTATTTACAAAAGCAGCTAAAGCAGGGTAGGTGCCTCATTCTATTGGAAGTTAGGGGCCTAACTCACTTAGGTGCTCTTATAAATCCCATAAGTCTGCAGTCCTTCAGCCTACTCCCCTTATCCTGACTTAGAGGGAGAAAAGTTGTCACACTGTAAAGATCCCTTCTCCCTGGGCTATCTCAAATGCCCAAGAAAAATGATGGAATAAAATGATGGAATAACAAATAGAGTGAAAGCCGTTCTTTTCAATTCCTCCTGTGGTAAGTAATTTTCTGCTTTGAAAGGGTCTTCTTAAAAAAATGGCCAATTATAAAAAATCTTCTAGAATGCAATTGTCCACTGCTCTTGCACTTACAGTATGTAACAAATAAAGCTGGCTGTTGCCCAGGAAAAGCTTGTTTTTAAGCCTTATGCCTGGCTGGGATAACCCCTTGAGAAGCTATGGAGATTGCCATCGATAACCCGAGAGTGTCTGTAGCAGAGGTAAAGCCCTTAAGCCTACAAATGTTCTCACTCTTAAACCAACAGGAAGTTCTTAAAGTGGATTAGACTCAAAATGTAACCATGTTTTGTCCCTTTGCTGGATGAATCTCCACTGAAGCAGTTTCCCCTGACTGCCTAAATAAAAAGGGAGGGAATTCTCATTTTATAGGGCAGGGATCCTCAGAATTTTTCACAGTGTGAACTACAGTCTAGTATCTTAAGGGCCACCTGCCACCCCATTTGCTATGTCCAATGGACTCCCTCTCTTCCTATTCACAATAAACACAACTACAGCAGTCACTTACATGGCACAGTCATATTAGGAAATCATTTAATATATTTTTAGCTTCTTTTAATGTAGTTTAGCAGCTGGAAACAAGGAGGAAGAGCCAGCACCAGAAGATGAGCCAGCTCTGCCCATAATTCATCAGCAAGAATACTGGGAATCATTATGGATTTCAGTTTGGGAACCTCTGTCGCAGAGGCCTCAAAGCACTAGAGGTGAAATCCTGTCCCCAATGAGGTCAATAGGAATGCTGCCATTGACTTTAGTGGGGCCAGGATTTTACTCTAGATTGCCACCAGAACTCCTGGATCAAGATTTCTTGAGTTAAGATTCTGAAGGATCTTTCATTAGGATGATAGGACTAACAAACAAACAAACCTTTCTGATGTCATCTGTGCCCCTTTGGAGGCTGCAGACTGTTGTTATACTATTACTTGGTAATTTATATTTATATAATGCCATTAGTGTAATGGCACTTTGTAAGCTTCTAGGAAACAAGGCTTCTGTCCTAAGGAAAGTAATGTCTGATTCTCATTTACACAGTAAATGTAATTTATGCCTACCTTAAGGCCCCTTTACATTGCCAGAATTGAGTTCAGAAGCCTTTAGCCCAAAAGAGAATCAGTCCCTTACCATCTAACCTAGATATACTTATCCAATTGAGCTATGCCACTACATCGACCACAACTGCTGTGGATCTGTCCTATTATACATATCACAACAGGTGATAGTTCAACTCCAAAGCAGTGCTGATAGCAAGAGAGAGGAGATTAGTGTTGGAAACTTTCATGAAATCATGTGTTAAGGGGGGATTTCAAAGGAGAAAGGAAGGTTGATTGGTGCATGGGGAGTGGGAGGCTGCCCCAAACCAGGAGGCAGTATAAAAAGTTACGAAGCCAAGAGTGCAAGGTGGGAGGTAGGCTGGAGAAATGCACAGGGAAGGAGGGTGGGGAGAACATTTAGGAGGAAATGCGAAGAGAGACATAGGTGTGAGCAGATTGGACCTACATACTTCCCCTTTTCCTATTCCCATCCTGACTTTCCATCAAAGGAGAGTTAGATATGGCTATGTCTGGAGACCCTATAAATCTGTTTCTTGTGTTCACCAAGAGGTGTCACTACAGAGTGACACACTCTCCCCACTGAGGAGATGAACCGGCTGCCTCCCCAATACTTCCAGCCGCTGCTGACAAGCAAGCAGAATAGAATCTGAATCCTCTGCATACAACTGACCACACACAGAGCAGCCACTAAGGCCAGATCCATTAATTAATTTATTATTATTATTATTATTATTATGTGTCTATTGGTATTACCTAGAAGTCTGTCATTGGCCAGAACCACATTGTGCTAAGCATTTACAAACAGAACAAAAAGACAGCTACTGTCCCAAAGAGCTTACTGAAATTCTTGTTTTGTCTGGATTTTTAAATAATATTGAAAAACCCCACCCTTTATATAATTCAGGCAAATTCTTCAGTGTACACATACCCTCCCACCAGCCGAAAGTCCATTTGGTGGGTCAGATCATCAGCACATCTGGACCAGTATCTCAGTCTATCATATCATCACTAAAAGGAACACCAAAAAGGGAATAACTCTAGATGAGCACCTCCAAATTATGTTTACTTGTCTATTTCATACTGCCAGCTATATTCCAAAAAGGGTAGTGCTTTCCACCCACATAGCCAGCTGTCATCATCTAGAAGGGAGAAGAATCAAACTCAGATCCTGCTGGCCTAGGGCATGCTCCAGGCCTCTCAATCAATGGGTATGCCTATTCTCCATGCTAGTCTTGGTAGGTGTGTTAGCTATTTTTTCTCTCTCTCTCTCTGTACTTAAAACAGGAACTCTCCAGCAGTGAATTCTGTCTCCATTAAGGTAAGGGTAAATGTGTGATACCTATGGACAGATATACTACTGCTTCTTAACATTTATATAATGCTTTCCATCGTCACAGTGCTGAATCAGCATTAACAAATGTGTGTGTGCTGTTTATACATCAAGACATGCAGGCTGAATAATAGAACGTAACTGCTCAAGAGTGCATTATTCTGCTTATAAAATAGTTCTTGTACCGTATTGGAAAAGCGGTTCAGCCCATTTGGCTCTCACTATTGCACAACTCAGAATCTTCATCATCCAACCAAATTATATCCAGTCCAAATATCTTTATTATTCTTGGACACTGGACACACTTGATTTCTAACTTTAACCTCACAGTGCACCCTAAATCTACTGATATACCAGCATAACCATACACCCCTGAGTATACTACTCACACATATAGTACCATATACGTGCATACGTAAAGGCTAAGAGCTTCTCATTTGCACCAGTGCCCATTTTATACCACTCTATCAATGTAAAGGGGCATTAAAGTGGACTTATGTTATGTTTAAACCCATTTTAAGGTCCTTTACATTGCCAGAGCAGTGTAAAGGGGCCTTGATGTAAAAAGAATCAGGTCCTAAATAATTAAAAACATATACATAATATGGAATAATTACTTACAGACCTGGAAAGGCCTAATCACATCTAAACAAAGCCCTAAGAATCTTTTAAAAGCCATTTTGCTTCATGAGTGACATAGATTTGACACCCTGCCTTTTTCCTGGAAATGGGGAAGTCTGCTATCTTTAGGGTGAGGGTTTTCCACAGCATCCTCCACCATAGTATCTAAGCACTGGGAGGAATAGGTTCTGGAGGACTTTTGAGGGCAAGGTGTATTGAGAGGAAGGAGGGCGGCCAATGTGGGCATCCAAAAGCTTCAGGTAAGTTTGGGTAAAGTTCAGACAAACAACCAAACATTTGGATGCTTATCTGATTTGAATGTATGAGCCTTCTGAGATATGCCCCTCCATTTTAGCACAGCTCTGTAGGGGTTGTCTACATTACCCGCAGGATCAATGGGAAAGAAATCGATCGCTGAGCACTCTCCTGTCGACTCCAGTAGTCCACCAGGACAAGAGGTGTAGGCGGAGTCGATGGGGGAGTGTCAGCTGTTGACTCACCGCAGTGAAGACACCACAGTAAGTAGATCTAAGTACGTCGACTTCAGCTATGTTATTCACGTAGCTGAAGTTGCATAACTCAGATCGATTCCCCCACCCCAGTGTAGACCAGGCCTAAGCAAAATAATACTATAAACTGAAAAGGTTATAACACATTACATTGTGTGTGTTGTGGCGTCTGTGTTGTGCGCATGTGTGTATTGCGGATATTGTTTAAATAGCTTACACTGAAATCACCTCATGCTAGTATATTTGATTTGCCTCTTCTGTGGTATCTTTAAATCGCATTGAAAAATCTTCAAGTAAGCTCATGCTCTTGACCCTTCCATCACTATGGTACACAGCTAATCATTTTTAAAGCCAGTAGGGACCATTAGGTCATCTAGTCTGACCTCTTGTATAACAAAGGCCATAGACTTTCATCCAGTTAAATTCTCTTTCTTCACTTTACAACAATTAAGAAGAATCATGTGGGATTGAAACAAAACATTTGTTTAGTCCAATTCACTGAATTTATGAGGTGCCATTGGGCTAAAAAGCTCAGGCCCTGATACTGTTCTCAGTTATACTCATATACACATAGAATTCCAGTGAAGTCCAGGTTCAAACCAGCAAATCTGGCCCCAAATGTCCTAGTTTCACAGACATTTAAAACAGTTTTAAGTGGGAGTTTGCGACACTGCAAATTAGTTTCAGACATCAAATAACAATAACAACAATAATAATTTCATAATACAAGAACACGGGGCCACCAAATGAAATTAATAGGTAGCAGGTTTAAAACAAACACAAGAAAGTATTTTTTCATGCAACGCACTGTCAATCTCTGGAACTCCTTGCCAGAGGGTGTTGTGAAGGCCAATACTATAATGGGGTTCAAAAGGGAGCTAGATAGATTCATGGAAGATAGATCCATCAATGGCTATTAGCCAGGATGGGCAGGGATGGTGTCCCTAGCCTCTGTTTGCCAGAAGCTGGGATTGAGTGACAGGGCATGGATCACTTGATGATAACCTGTCTGTTCATTCCCTTTGGGGCACCTGCCATTGGCCACTGTCAGAGGACAGGATACTGGGCTTCAGGGACCTTTGGTCTGACCCAGTATGGCCGCTCTTATGTTTTATATTAACTCTTCCTCTCCTGCATGCACAGGAAATCATGTGCTGCTGAAGGTAAGGATGTAAGCTGCCTACCTTGGGGGGCAGGGCTCCAGATTACAGGCTTTCAGTAGCTGTGGAGGACGGCGGCTGGTCACACACAGAGTTTCGTCTGCAATCTCTCTTGTCTGTTTGTTCAAGCACGTCACGACAGCCTCTTGGACACCTGCATACAACATTCCAGTCAGGACTCAATGCACAGAACTCAAGGGGTGATGAAGTGCAGACATGGCACCAGCAGGGGTCCTGCTAAATTGCTGTGGGGGCCTCTGCACATCAGAAAATACAGTTTGATACTCAGGATCATCAGTGGAGTCAGTTCAGACATTGCTACCAAACCTGCAGCTGAGGGCAAAGGGAGGGGCTCCCAACCCCGATGAGCAGGCTGACATGCTACTGTGAAGTTTTGCTGCTCATGCTTTACAGCCATGTAGTGTGCAGGGCGAGGTGTTCCATGCTGACTGGCAGCTCAATGAGGACACTAACATGAGCACCTAAAGGCTAGGAATGCCTCTCCTGGCATGTTGGCCCTGAAAGACTGGGGTGAATCACAGGCTTCCACTCCCTTCTGTTTTAACAGGAAACCTCCATCTACAATTCCTGTAACTCTCCAGAAACAGACATGCCTCTGGCCACATTCACCATTGCCTCTGCTTTCCTCCTGTTCCCCACCTACCTGAAGGTAGGGTGACCAGATGGCCTGATTCTGTAGGGACAGTCCTGGTATTCGGGGCTTTGCCTTATATAGTTACCTGTTACCCTCCACCCTGATCATGATTTTTCACACTTGCTATCTGGTCACCCTACATGAAGTTCCAATTAAATAACTAAAAAGGAGGCCCCAGCTTTGTTTCAATCAGCCATTGCTGTCAATCTCATAAAGCAACTTTATTAGGGTGACAAATTCCTTGGTCCCGCACCTTCCACAAGTGTCACTGAAACAAGCAGAAGCACAAAACAAATGTCCTTCTGACACTGAAACAATGAATGCAACCAGACTGCATACCAGCCAAGGCAGTGATGTGATCATTCAATTAAGAGGGGGTGTGGTGTTAAAGATGGCCCATTTATATGTTCTATTTTAAGTAGCAACAGGATTGTTCTAGGTGCAGAAAAAAAAGTGATGTGATAATATTCAACATTTGTGAACAACAGCTGTTGTCAGACTGCCGCATCCAGACACTACAGCTCTAACTTGCACTCCCCGAAATCTAATCCTTGAGGTCACAGGGACAAACCATCCCGATGTGTCGAAAGAATAGTAAAGATGGCCGGCGACCTGCTTGGCTTAACAGTGAAATCCTTGCTGATCTTAAACACCAAAAAGAAGCTTACACGAAGTGGAAGATTGGACAAATGACCAGGGAAGAGTATAAAAATATTGCTCGGGCATGCAGGAGTGAAATCAGGAGGGCCAAATCACACCTGGAGCTGCAGCTAGCAAGAGATGTTAAGAGTAACAAGAAGGGTTTCTTCAGGTATGTTGGCAACAAGAAGAAAGTCAAGGAAAGCGTGGGCCCCTTACTGAATGAGGGAGGCAACCTAGTGACAGAGGATGTGGAAAAAGCTAATGTACTCAATGCTTTTTTTGCCTCTGTCTTCACGAACAAGGTCAGCTCCCAGACTACTGCACTGGGCAGCACAGCATGGGGAGGAGGTGACCAGCCCTCTGTGGAGAAAGAAGTGGTTCGGGACTATGTAGAAAAGCTGGACGAGCACAAGTCCATGGGGCTGGATGCATCCGAGAGCGCTAAAGGAGTTGGCGGATGTGATTGCAGAGCCATTGGCCATTATCTTTGAAAACTCATGGCGATCGGGGGAAGTCCCGGACGACTGGAAAAAGGCTAATGCAGTGCCCATCTTTAAAAAAGGGAAGAAGGAGGATCCTGAGAACTACAGGCCAGTCAGCCTCACTTCAGTCCCTGGAAAAATCATAGAGCAGGTCCTCAAGGAATCAATTCTGAAGCACTTAGAGGAGAGGAAAGTGATCAGGAACAGTTAGCATGGATTCACCAACGGCAAGTCATGCCTGACTAATCTAATTGCCTTCTATGATGAGATAATTGGCTCTGTGGATGAGGGGAAAGCAGTGGACGTGTTATTCCCTGACTTTAGCAAAGATTTTGACATGGTCTCCCACAGTATTCTTGCCAGCAAGTTAAAGAAGTATAGGCTGGATGAATGGACTATAAGGTGGATAGAAAGTTGGCTAGATTGTCGGGCTCAATGGGTAGTGATCAATGGCTCCATGTCTAGCTGGCAGCTGGTATCAAGTGGAGTGCCCCAAGGGTCGGTCCTCGGGCCGGTTTTGTTCAATACCTTCATAAATAATCTGGAGGATGGTGTGGATTGCACCTTCAGCAAGTTTGCGGATGACATTAAACTGGGAGGAGAGGTAGATACGCTGGAGGGTAGGGATAGGATACAGAGGGACCTAGACAAATTAGAGGATTGGGCCAAAAGAAATCTGATGAGGTTCAACAAGGACAAGTGCAAAGTCCTGCACTTAGGACGGAAAAATCCCATGCACCGCTACAGACTAGGAACCGAATGGCTCGGCAGCAGTTCTGCAGAAAAGGACCTAGGGGTGACAGTGGACAAGAAGCTGGATATGAGTCAATAGTATGCCCTTGTTGCCAAGAAGGCCAATGGCATTTTGGGATGTATAAGTAGGGGCATTGCCAGCAGATCGAGGGACGTGATTGTCCCCCTCTATTCGACTTTGGTGAGGCCTCATCTGGAGTACTGTGTCCAGTTTTGGGCCCCACACTACAAGAAGGATGTAGAAAAATTGGAGAGTCCAGCGGAGGGGAACAAAAATGATTAGGGGGCTGGAACACATGACTTATGAGGAGAGGCTGAGGGAACTGGGATTGTTTAGTCTTCAGAAGAGAAGAATGAGGGGGGATTTGATAGCTGCTTTCAACTACCTCAAAGGGGGTTCCAAAGAGGATGGATCTAGACTGTTCTCAGTGGTAGCTGACGACAGAACAAGGAGTAATGGTCTCAAGTTGCAGTGGGGAGGTTTAGGTTGGATATTAGGAAAAAATTTTTCACTAGGAGGGTGGTGAAACACTGGAATGCGTTACCTAGGGAGGTGGTGGAATCTCCTTCCTTAGATATTTTTAAGGTCAGGCTTGACAAAGCCCTGGCTGGGATGATTTAGTTGGGGATTGGTCCTGCTTTGAGCAGGGGGTTGGACTAGATGACCTCCTAAGGTCCCTTCCAACCCTGATATTCTATGATTCTATTCTATGATTCTAATCTGGACACTGGTCATGCAGGGGAGTAAGGCACCTTTGAGAGTTGGAGGCAGGGAACAGAGCAGGAGCAGCTGTGGGAACTAAAAAGGAGAAAGTATAGTCTTGTGATTAAGGTGATGGACTGGAACTTAGGAGCAGAGTTCGGTGAATAAAGCATTTTTGACGTTGCTGGACATTTCAAAGAATCAAAATAAATTTGTTTTGGATCAGACTGAAAATGATTTTTTTTTTTTGGCAAATTGAAAAGTTAAAAAAAAAGGTGGGGTAAACAAAACGTTTTGTTTTGCTTCTGACCATTTAAAAACTTTTTTTTTTTTTTTTTTTTTACAATTTTTAAAAATGAAATGGAAATTTTGAAACAAGTAGTTTCAAACAGAAAAATCAAAATATCTATTTTTGAGGGTTTTTTTCCAAAATGAAAAATTCTGTGAATTTACATAAACTCATTAAATGTTTTGGTGTCACCAGATCTGCATTCTTCACCTAAACAAATTTTTGGATGAAAAATTTCACCCAGGTCTACTCAGGAGATCTAAGTTCTGTTCCCAGTTCTGCCAGCTTCTGACTGTGCTTTTAGGCATGACAGTTTCTCTCTGTCTCCCATCACCCAAGTGTAAAATGGGGATATTAGTACTTCCCTGTCTCACAAGGATGTAGTGAGGTTAAAGTAATTAATGTATGTGAAGTGCTCAGATATTGCTGTGATAAGCACCAGAGAAAAACCTACATTTAAGAAAAATCCACGTAAACTAATTTACTCTTTGAGCCCCTTGAACTGGTCCAATACAAGGATTCACGTAAGTTCATGATTTGCCTATGCTACCTAGATAACCCAACCTTCAGTAATTCAAGGGAAATCTGAGCACACTTTCTATAATCATGACTTCACTTAACTGGGAAAAGTTTAACTAGACTTGTCCTTGAATAACTGGTCCACCATCACCACAACAGTAATCTGTTTTCCAAAACACCCCAACCCCTCTGAAGATGACAACTTTCACAAAAAAGTGTTTGACAGGCTTGAGTAACTATGGGAAAGCAGCCAGAATAATATTGCTGTGTGTATAAACAGAACCTGCAATACGCTGTATTATTTTTGAAGCTAAAACTGATGCCACTAGGAAAAAAACAGCACAATATTATTCACCAATATGCAACAACTTACAATAGTGCTTCTGGAGTGCAGTTTGTTCAAAGTCATAGATCTTCCTATTCATGAATCTATTGGTCCTGCTGCTCTGTCCTCTGCCCCCAACATACACTGCAGGCTAGGGTGGTGATAGCCTCATAAAGCACAGCTCCATAGTATGCAAGGGATATAGACATGAGTGGGCTGCTAGAGTGCTGCACATGCCTATTCCAGGTGTGCACAGGACTCCAGGAGCTATGTCATTCCCAGGTGTTCAGGTTGCAGCCACAGAGAATCAGAGTAAGGGAAGAGGGAAGGGAATCCACCTCTTACTGAATATTTACATCACGTGGGACACTACTGAAATCCCCAAAGTCAGCCAATATCATTGTGGGGTTTTTCCCCCTACCAGATGGCCCAGAGAATGGTATTTATAAACACAATATTTTATTAGACACTTAGAATAGCCCCCAAAGATGGTTCTATTTGATTTTTAAAAATAAAACAATAGAGTATTTGAGTGAGTAAAACAAATGTCAGTGATTTATGTGTACGAAGGGAAAGCAAACAAATTCCCTACATGTTCCCTACCTTTAAATGTTCAATAACTTTCTAACCAGGTCACTTGTCTGCTGAATGCATTATTATATGCTCTAAAGGGAACACTGTTTTGACCATCCAAGGGTCTTACAAATATTGGCTGAATAGTAAAGCATCATTGTGCTCAGGACACTGGGCAGTCCTTTGGGGTGGTTTCTTGTACAGACTTAACTGTACAGAGTGTGTTACGTGAAAACAACAATCAAGGTGAGAAGGGGCTGCCAATCAATGCGGATGGAAACCAAAGAAAATGGTTTCTACCACCTCCTATGAAATGAAACCAATGAGTTTCACAAAGGTCTTTGACAACTGGCTAGAGATAGGCCTGGACCACAACCGTGATAGGAAACACCTTCAAATGTTCAGATGTGGATTTTGCAGCTAAAGTCCATCTCTCCTATTTACTTTGATCTGGTAGCTTCAGTACCTCTTTGTGGCTTCCCCAGGTAGGAGTTTCACAAATAAATTGCTGTCTAATGTTATATGCAACATAAAAGTGTTAGCATTTTCACTGTGCTTGCCTTGGATTTGTAATCCACAAGTGGTCTAATCCTGAAAGTGCTGAGTCTAATCCCTCTCCCCAACCCTCACTACAACTGAGGAGTCTCTACAGTTCTCAGGATCAGTCTCTTAGGCTACTCTTTACCTTACAGTATTTTTTTTAAAACTTCCACGCCCTGTTTCTCTCTCCTCCTTGCTTATTCAGTCCATCTAAATTGTCTCTCAGTGTATGTCCAGTAGTTTTATTGTCTATCCTGCCAGGATACAGCCCCACTCATTAGAAAGCATGCTAACTTTTGAAGAGATTCCAGATTTTATTTCAAAACAGTTATGTCAATGGAGGGTGAAGTGTTTGAAACTTATTACTAAACATCCCCTATCCACATGCTTTAACACTGACAGCAGGTTTCAGAGGGGTAGTTTGTTTGTATTTTGCTGCAACAGGCCATTGCAAATCTAAAGTCATGTCAATATCAAAATATTTAGCATGAACTGCAGACATATGAAGTAGCATGTTCAATTACAGTTGACTGGCAATGCCAACAGAATGTTTAAATTAATATTCCAACATATACACTATCATAACAGATGCAGCCAAATATTCAAGATGTGTTGCATGCAGTCTCAAAACCTTCCAACAATTATCCAAGATAGGAACAGACTCAGGTATTATTTATTGCTTGTATTTGCCATCTAAGCGGCCTACAAGCCAACAGCATTATGATAACTTTGTAAATTGCACCGTACAACTTCTAGGGTTAAAGCCTCCCCCTGCTACACAGACAAATATGGTGGCAGAAGGGGCATAAGAAGTCAAAATGCAGTGTGGAAACTGTGGCGCTCATGATGTGGACTGGACACAACATCTAGTCATAGTGCATAAACTTGAACTTTCATTTCCCTCCACTTCTAATATGATGGGACAGGCACCAGAGCCACAGGGGTCATGATTATTCAAGCAGAGAGCATGGCTAGCACTCAGTCCAGCAGACATGATTTCTGCCACTATCAGCAAGTGCAAACAGCAAATAAAGGTCACAGCACAGTATGCTGGCCCTATTGTTAACACCTTGCCCGATGACTGCTGGATGTCTCTTGCCTGCCCTGTACATATCTGGCTCCAGTCTGCCTGCACTTTGCTGCCACAGGGAGTATTTGGATTTGGCCTTGGGAAATAAAAAAATCTCTACCTTTCTAACGAAAATGAAGAATTCTCAAAGGAACACATTGCAAACTCAATTTTTTTTAAAAAAAATTGTTTTTATCGCTATGCATGAAAAGCTGATTTCTCAATATAAATGTTATAGGCTCAATTCACTAGTGTGATCCCACTGATTTGAGTTACCACAGTAGCACAAAGGAGATGGAAACCTGGTTTAACTGGCACTAGGGAGACTCTCCGAATATAGGGGACTTCCAGTGGCACGGAACCACCATAGTGGCTCCAACACAGCCTGCCATCTTGTCTGCCAGTATAACTGTTGTGGAAAACCGGGGTGGTGGCTAAGAAGCCCATGAGTTCATCTAGTCCTTGGCTGCCAGACTGACTCCTGAAGGCTATGGTCAGAGGGTACAGCCTGTAGTAACTTGTGCCAGGAACCAAACAGTCTTCTGGCTTTCCCCAGTATCAGGGGAACATAAAGGTGGCTCAGAACAACTTTTGCCTGCCCACCCCTCCCCACAATCTCACACTTAGTGTGTTTCAGCAGGCTAAAATAAACTGTCCCTATATTTTGGGTAGGCCAATGCATGTAATTGAAGACAAGTGTTAAATCAATACAAGAACCATTGCTTAAGTCCTCCAATATTCTTCTTCCATTACCTGTCAGAAACTGTGCAGCAAAGTACAAATAAAAAGTAAGAAAAGGCTGCTCCTTCCACTTTCCAGAGGACACTTGTTTGAGGTTCACTTCTAAATATTATTTATCACACAACATTTCACCATAATGAAGCTGTCCTGCTTCAAACTGTTTTCTTTCAAAATACCTATTAGTTCATGCATGGGAAATTAAAATGTAACAAGGTGCAAGGATGGAACATGAATCTAAGAAGTTTAAATTCACTTTCAATATACCATCAAATGGGATTTTCTATGTTTATATCTACCAGAATCGCATAATTGTTACATGATATTTGATGACAGCTCTGGGAAATGCAGCCACTAATGGCAGACGAAATTACTAACTAGTTCCTTCTGGTTGCTACCTCTCCAAGGTGAAAGGTTACTTCTATGTCTATCCAATTTCATCTCCTGAGAGTACAAAACCAATAAAATTAGCTTGACCTGTCTTGCATCTGTAGCTACAAAAATTTTGATTTAGAATTTATTTCTTAATCTGGCCTATTTTTGGTTGACCAGATAACAAATAAATAAATAAATAAGTAAGTAAATCTCCCAACTAACCATCTTTGTCGATAATCCAAAGATCTTAAATTGGTAAAGTGTTTCTGTCATAATAATTTACGTACGTTCTATGTGAAAATGTCTACGTATATATATACACTGTATGTATTGAAATGATTTCCTTTTAGTTCAAGGGGACATTGCTTGAGCTAGTCAAGATTCCAGGTTCAAAACACAAGCATTACAAATCATTATTGGCCAGTCAGACTCAAAATACAGCGGTTGCTATTAAAAAGTCAGTGTTTGCCACTAGTCAACATGCACTGGTAAAATTAGTTATAATTAGAGCAGGAAATAATGGTGGTAATTGTTAGAAAACTGTATGTTAACAGCAATCAAATGCCAACTACTGTAGCCAGCAATATATAAGCACTTTGTGATATGCTTTGCATTATAGAATCACTGAATATCAGGGTTGGAAAGGACCTCAGGAGGTCATCTAGTCCAACCCCCTGCTCAAAGCAGGATCAATCCCCAATTTTTGCCCAGATCCCTAAATGACCCCCTCAAGGGTTGAACTCACAACCCTAGGTTTAGCAGGTCAAACCACTGAGCTATCCCTCCACCCTTTTCTATCTTCTGGAACCTTTTTCTATTGTATTTGACTGCTGGAGGATCAATATTTAGCCAATCATTAAACTTCAACCCACTATTGACCTCTTTCCAATTCTACAACATCATTCCTATTTAATATATAAAATTGATTCTTTTGGCCATATTTTTTATCTGCATTCTTTTGTAAATGGCCTGAAAATTGCCTTTAAAAGGGCAGCAGCTGGGAAAGCCTAGGATTTTAAACAATTGCAATGGGAAAATTTTTCAGAACCAATTGGACAAAAGGTAGCATAAACTCAAATTAATACTAAACAATGTGTAAATAATTATCATAATAGGCATAACCTTTGACTTTCATCAACTTTTAGACTCTCCAAATGCCAAGTCTGTTAAGCTTTAGGCAATCAAATGTTTGGCTATTTTTGCCATATGTTTTCTTTTTGCACTGGGATCCAAGCTAACGTCAGATGGTACTGTAAGCTACAGAAACCAGCTGAGCCCCCAGTAGTTCAGTAAGCAAATGCATCTGCAGTGGCAGAATTATTTGGTTCTGTATGTGTGTGCATATATGACCATATCAAGAGACAAGCACAGAAAATGATGCTAGTTCATCTCACTAGGCTGCTTTATGTTATTCTTCCTTGTGTGAATAAAAAATGTAAGTCATCAAGAAAGAAATGTAAACAGCAGTATTAGCTGCATTAATCATTCACAGCTGAGAGCATGAGCATGGCATTTGATATTCAATGGGCCCAAATGGGAAATACATGTAGTTTATTCTTAATAGCTTCCCATTGAAGCCTTTTTTATTCTTCAAACAGATGTAGCAAAGCCGTCTTTTAGACAGTGCGCATTGCAAAGCACCGTATACCGGAAAAGGGGAAAGCAAATTAACCAGAGCAAAAAGCAAATTGCCCTCACCTCCTCCACAGGATTCTGAGCATTCCGTAAAGCCCTCGTATTCCCAGTCATAGAGTTCATCAAAATCCTGGAGGCCCCCATAGATCAGTTCGGTTTCCTCAGGGTTAGATTCAGCAGCCTCCCCACTGCAGGGGCCGCCGTAACAGGCTCGTTGTGATGCAGGTTTGGGACCTTCACATTCGTCAATTGGCAGGTCAGCCACAGACTGAGAGAAAGACAGGAGCACCTGACATTTCACTGGCCGCACCTGGCTGCCCACCCCACATGTGACACTACAGGCAGACCAGGCCTCAGGAATAAACCTATGGTAAGCAAGAGAGAGGGCAAAGTAAGCAGCAATGTCCAAGATAATTGGGCAGCATCCCTTGTCCAGTGGTTGCAGAAAACATCATGATTTGTCTGGGAAACGAGTGCTTCATCTCATCATACAAGTACTTCTGTAAAGTGCTCATCACAGCCATGCATCTTGGACACCTTACGGTTCTTAGGGCAAAACTCAGTATAATCCTAACGTCTCTCTCACGCCCTTTCTCTCTCCTCTAATCAACACACACAACATTCAGAATCCCAGATGTGAGAAATGAAAGACACCTATTACATCATCTAGTCAATTTATACTTAAATAGATAAAATACACAAGCAGACAAAGAAAGAAATACTGTGTTACAGCATCCTGGAGCCCTTTAGAAATGGGAGACGCTATATAAATACCGTCTATTATTATATAATTTCACCATGCTTAGCAGCTGATAAGGCAAATACTGGAAATAACTTCAGGAATTTATATTTTTTGTCCAGCTTCCTAGACCCAACTTTTACATTATGAGTTCTAGGTCCTTTCTTCTTCTCTTTCCCTCCCGCTCTTTCAGAGGACTCACTCACTCACTCACTCTTTCAAGGGACCCACTATTAAGAAGAGAAGGGAAAACTGGAAAGAGGGCCCTTGGTGACCTTGTTCTGTTATGACTGACCTTATAGTGTCTGTTGTTACTGAATGGCTGGAACACAGTTGACATTATGGAGTCCAGCTGTGGGAAAGTCTGAAGGATGCCACTGTCTGCCACCCCCCAGAGGGCGTCTCTGTATTAGTGGCACTGACTAGTCCGTAAAAGGGGAGGGTTGGGATCAAAAGTGGAATACTTGACAAAGAAAAATATGAGTTAAAAATAAATGGTTCTTTTAAAGAAAGCCATGTACTTGTTCCTTTTAGGTGCAGACACCACACAGCCTTCTCCTATTACAAGAGTTTCCTAGGCTCCTTGCAAAATGACCTATCCTGTATTTAAAAGAGGCAGTGTATTTTCCTATAGGATTTCTTAGTTGCTGCTGTTAGGCATAGTGCACAGGACCCATTTCAGCCGAAAAGATTTTTGCTGTACCATTTAGTATTTATGCAAGGTTCATAAAAATGTAATAAATACAGCAAGCCAAACCGTGCACATTGCTAAGTTGAATAAACCCAGAGTAGCGTCATTGACTTCAATAGATTTACTCTGGATTGATGAGAGTTTGGCTCATTGGTTCTGTAACATACCTAACAAACCTTGATGAAAATATAGTTTAAGGAAATGTGGAAATTAAAACAAAAACAACATAGAACATGAATTTGTAAGGCAATAAATAACAGTGGGCCAAATGTTCAAAGGTCCCACCATCCAGCCTTCAGTTTGCACATACAATCAGTTGCATGTGCAAGTGAATAGTGCTTGTATGTGAAAACCCAGCTGTGCATGCCAATTAGATACACATCCATTTACCTACTTTGTGTATATTAGCACTATTTGCATATGTAGGCTTTTGCATGCAGAAATAATTGCACCTGCCAAATTGTGGACACCAGAATTTTTTTGAAAACAGGTCCTCATTAAATTCAATTTTAATTTTTCCAGACTCATATTCAAAACACAAGATGACAGTTCTCTTGTTGTCTCATGTGGTATGATGCATAGTATTTTATCTCTCTCCCTCTTAGTTTAGATAGCATGATCTCAGATCTTCTATAATTATGTAAGGGAATTTATTTCAAAATTCAACATGATTGGCACTCAGAATGTGGCTTTTCAGCCAAAGATCATCTCATTTATAAAAACAACATAATGGACTTTGCTATTTTAAACAGATATTGGTGGTGAGAACGTCCATACTTTGTTCTGTCATGAAATGATCACATTAATTTAACTTCAAAACTCTCAGGAGGGCAGCTGAGCAGCAGTGCATACTTTGCTTTGTGAAAGTAGCTGCAGGAAAACTGGTGAAGTGGGAGTCTGAAACATAGAGCCTAATCCAAGACTCACAGTTAACTCATGACTTCAGTGGACACTGGATGAGACCCACATAAAGGTGACCAGATGTTCTGATTTTATAGAGACAGTCCTGATATTCGGGGCTTTTTCTTATATAGGCGCCTATTACCCCCGCACTCCGTCCCGATTTTGCACACTTGGTATCTGGTCACCCTAGACCCACAGCTGGCCCTGTTGTCTTTATGGGGAGATCCAGACCATTCTGTATGACTGTAAGTACATGGGTGCTGCTCCTTGAGAATCTGCGTATCCAGGTATATTATGAAGAATCAGAATGAATACTGACTGACAGAACATACATGATCTAAGGTGCAGGGTGAAAACCTCTTTTCCCTTTCCTCACTGCCACTCCTCTATCTGTTCCATTATGCTTCCTTTTGTCCCTTTCTTAAGATACCATTTACATTTTTTTAAATCCTCTTTGGGTTACTCTGGGGTTCAGCTTTAAGATCTGGGTGCTCAGAACCTTTGAAAAATCACAGGTGTCAATTTAGGCACCCAAAAAATCAAGATACCCCAAAGCAGTGGCTACTTTTAGTGACTTGCCCAAGGTCACAGAAGGTGTCTGCAATAGACCCACGTCTCCTGACTGCCAGACCTGCACTTAACCCCAATACCTCCTCTCCTTCTCAATACGTGGCACTCTTCCCCTAAAGTACTGAATTAATGCCACAGCATTATCACAAAGAGCACTCTGCACTTGGATGAGATGTTCAGATGAGACATAAAACAAGATCACGATCACTTGTCATTCAAGATCCCAAGGCTCCATTTGCCTGGAATAGCCCAAACACACTGGTCAAATGCCAATCTGGGTAATTACATTCTTCCCTACATGTTCCTTGCAGTTTCAATTGAATGTAATATTTTTCTTCACATTGTATCACACCATTTTGTAGTCTCAGTGTTTAGTGTTAAACATTTACTGTTTTTCTCCCCAGTAGTGGATACAGCAATCTGATATACAGTATGTACATACTATACACGTTAACTCCCTAAGGCACTGTGGGATCCTTCTAAATGAAAAGACACAAACATTATCTAATGTTAGTTTAACACATGTATGATCTTTTATGCAGCTGCACTTACAGCTTAATTGGATATGATTAAACCCCAATATGGGAAGAAGTTTTCCCTGCTTTTGTTTCTTCTTCTGTTTCCTGAAATTGATGGAGAAAAGCACTGACAGACTGGTCCTGTTGGTAATATTTGTGTGTGTCATTACTGCCATCTTGCTCAGTCAATATATTTGGCAAAAAAAATTAAAAAATCATATATTTAGTATTTTTAGTCTATGTTGGAACAACTTTTAGTTCACTTTTAACCTGCTAATTAGTCAATTTCTATGTATAAATATCTAAAAGCTGCACTATTTTAATAGGAAAAATTGAATAAACTATATATGAATGTTTGCATACACAAAAATCTTATTTAAGAATGTGAAATAGTGCTTAGGTGACTCTGGTACACTGATCTTTCTGCCTATGTGAAATTCCCTGTGGGTTCTGTTCACACAGATGCATGTCAGGAATTTCCTTTTGTTTCTTACTGAATCAGCCCCATCACTAAGCTGGTGCCATCTGGCATCCAGATATTATTGTTTACCCTCTGTTTTTTATGGCTCACACCAGGTTTATTTATAGCAACGTTAAAATTTGGGTATCAGGTTAACATAGAAAAGTGTTTTTAAGAGTTACACAGCAAAAAACCCACCTTCCCAACAAAACCAATCTGATTAAAAATAGAGGACCCCATACCTTTTCAGTCATGTCTGCGGCTCTTTCTGACTCTGGCTGTCATAGCGTGTTGGTGTAAAACTGAGCCCCAGTGAAAGAGCTCTCACATAGATATAAATATCCCTCATGTACGATTTTCTCGAGAGTGGTGAATGACCATTCCCCACATGGGTAATGTTAGATACATTATATATGTAATGACAAAGGAGCACAAAGACTTCTAGAACTACCTTCTATAGTTTTAATAACCATTATGTGATTTTCTTTTCATTCTAGGTTCATTCATATAAAAGGTGTCTAACTCATTATTAATTATTATTATTATTACATTAGTATTTCAGGAGCATGGCGAAAAGAAATCCTATGGCCTGTGTTATGCATAGGCTTGGAAGGATTAGATGCTTATTGGTAAATGTAGATAAACATCAATTTCACCATACAAAAAAATATTTCCATCTATAATAATAGAAATTTACTGATAGGCAGAGTATGAAAAATGATACTTGAGAGCTAGGAGTTTGATGTAAGGATATTTACTTTCTATATTTTGACATGTGATGTTGACAATTTGTGTTTTAAAGGTTATAAAACTAACTTTTGAATCTCAGCATCTACGGTCACAAAAAAACTACTCAAATTCCAAGCCCAGAAAGAACGATTGTGATCATCTAGTCTGACTTCCTATACAACACAGACCATAGAACTGTCCCCAAATCATCCCTAGATCAGATCTTTTAGAAAAACATCCTATCTTGATTTAAAAATTGTCAGTTGATAGAGAACTTATCACAACCCTTGGCAAATTGTTCCAATGGCTAATTACCCACACTGTCAAGAATATATGCCTAATTTTCAGTCTGAGTTTGTCTAGCTTCAACTTCCAGCCCTTTGATTATGTTATACCTTTGTCCTCTAGATTGAAGAGCCCATTATAAAACAGTTGTTCCCCACGCAGATACGCATAGACTGTAATCAAGTCACCCCTTAACCTTCTAGTTGCTGAACTAAACAGATTGAGCTCTTTGAGTCTATCACTATCAGGCATGTTTTGTAATCTTTTAATCATCCTCATGGGTCTTCTCTGAGCCTCTCCCATTTATCAACATCCTATTTGAATTGGGAGCACCAGAGCTGGTTGTCTGATCTACCCCCATTGTTCTACCGCCTACCCCCACCCCCAATTATTTCCTGAAACGGTGAAAATTTAAATAAACAAAAACAAATGGTTAAAACCCATAACTTTGAGCATCTATGATAACTTAAATTGATAATAAAAATACTTCTAAATAAACATTGAAATCAAATTCTGCCAAGCCTAATTATGCAGGAGGTAAGACTAGATGATCATAATGGTCCCTTTTGGCCTTACATTCTATGAATCAATCAGACAGCTAGGTCCCATTATGCTAGATAGTGTATGCATATGAAATTTTTAAAAAAGAGTCACTGCTCCTAGAATCTTACAAATTTAGCATTGATCACAGACAACAAGAGGATACAACAAACAAATGGAAGGGATGTAACTGTGAAACACCCATGTTTAATATAATGCCACAGTCACAATGCACCAGCTGACAAGACATTGCTATGTGTCTGGTAGGCAATCAGGACAGAAGTAAATTTTATGACTGATGATGTAGTGGCTTTATGGACTTTTATGGGATGGCATAGTAGAAAGAGTGAAGGTGCTTGGGGGAAATTGGATTAACTGGCGACAATGGCTGGCATTATTTACAAAACAGAGGCAGGAGTTGATGGCTTCATAGCATATTAGAGATGACAGAAGCTATCTTGTCAAATGTATTGAAAGAATTACTATTTATTCACAATTAATCATGGGCTGGTACAATGTAGGCAGGAACATCTCATGGACATGGAATGGATGAACAGAGCAGTCTGACTGGCTGAAGAGACTTCCAATCCTTATAACGGTCTTCAAGAAAACACAGCCATCAAAACTGTGTTGTCTCTTCACCAACCAGATCACTACACTTCCAAATCTGCCACTCAATTGAATAACAGGGGCTTCTGTTTTAAAAACCATTCCCCTTCTCTTTCTCCCTCTATGCACTTCTTCTCCTCCCCTCCTTTCCTAATGAAAAGCGAAGAGGGGCTCCAAAGGAGAAGCCAACAGGCCTGCTCTCCTGAGCTGAGCCGGGGGGCTTCAACGGAGAAGTCAACAAACTTTCTCAGATGAAGTCCTGCTCCTGGAGCTCAGCTGAATGGAGTGGAATAAGATGGATGGCTTCCTTTTGGAAGCCCTCCTCCTCTCCCTGCCATATGAATAAGAGATGGTGAGGTAAAACTGCAGCATTTTTGGAGCTATTTTGTACAATGTTTACAATGAGTTGACATGTTAAAACAGAACTGTATCTCTTAGGTGGATGAATTTTCATAGATATATGATCATATTTCAGTGGTTCAAATTCAGAGCTGGTATAAGAGGCTGGAACTCCATTCACCGTCTTATACCAGTGCTGTATTTGGCCCAACGTCTAAAAATGTGTCTTACCCCATCCCACTACCCTACCCAATAAATTCAAGAATAAGGGCAACAATACTCCAGTGGGTGCTAAAATATGCACACTGTGGATATGCTGAGGCACATGATTCTAGCTTGTGTCTCAGTATACTCAAGAGGTGTGTATACTGACGGTCAGATTCACTCTCATGTATTATTGGGTACTTAACAACGAATGTTTATGTTGGTATTTTTTTTGTAATTCCTGTGTGTTAGACTCTGACAAGTGACTGTATAAAACCAGCAGTTTACAGCATCTCAGGAAGTCCAGAGTAAATTTTCCTCAGTTTTGTTTTCGTAACTCCAGCCCAGCAAACCCAGCTTGGGATCTGAAGGTTAAGGTTTGCTCCTTCTGCCTCATGTACCACCAGATAGGGACCCAAACTAAAACCCAAGATTTGGACATCTCTGCTTGTAGAAGATTGAATATGGATGGACCTTTTGCAACGTTGTCTCACATCTATTAATCACCATTAATAAAAACTCTGTGGTAGGATCTTATTTAATAACTGTGTTGATTACGCAAGGGCCATAAAAGAAACCTGCCCACTCTCCCAGAGTGTTCTACTTTTTGTAAAAGTGTTCTACATTTTACTCCTGTGCTGGCTCTGCAGGGCTAATAGGAGTAAAATGTAGAACACTTCACCCTGGTTTCTAGCATAAGCTCAGAATGGTGAGCCATTGATGTTCCACATGGGACAGGATCTGCCTATGCAGATCTCTTTGCAGGATCAGGACCTTAATTTGGTCACTAAAGTGAGCAAATATGACTCTACATACACACCAAGAGCAGATCTGTTCTGTAAGAAGGTATCATAACCACACTTTAAATATTATAAAATTCTTAGCTTCCTTTCATTTTATAACCCAAGCCCTGTTTTTATATCATGGATCATATACTCATTTTTTCTCCAGAGTATTTTGAAAAGACCTCTTCAGTATTTTCTCTGCAATTCATTCACCTTTTGCTAAGATCCAGCCATGCTGCAGTTCACAAATCCCTCATGTTAATATTAAAAAAAGAATGTAATAATATATAAAACAAATTAACATATTTTTTAAAGCAATGTCAAAATTAAATTCTCAAAATTCAGCTTAGAACTGTGGTCAATAGGCTAAGATCACAGCCTCCTCCCTTCGTCACTTTCCAGCAGAAATGTGGGCTGCATTTCAAATCATCATCATATTTCAGTTTAAGCAATATGATTCCTTTTTTATAAATTTGCTGACAATACAGCATTTTCATTATGCTTTTAGAGAGTAAATATAGTTTGTTAAATACATATTTAGAGAAGTGGTTTAATATGGTAGAAAAAAAATAAAAGCTGGAAGAAATCACCAACTGTTCTCCACAAGTTAAAAAAGATTCAAATAGGTTCATGTGTTTTTCTGGATCTTGTCTACGCATGAACAAACTGAACATATGAAGCACATAAAAGACTATGTATACACGTCACCATATTACATGCTACAGCTGGAACTCATCTGTATATCGGGGAGATGGGGTAAAAATAATTATTGTCTTGAGCACAATATTATACATTTCCTTTGCTTTATACCAGTACTCCAACTATAATCTACTTCAGTTTGGATTAACTGTGCCAGAACTGCAATTTTACTCCATGAAGGATAACATTTACGAGCCTAATAGATGGCTGTAGTTACGGTGGAAGGAGCCATGTGTTTAACTGCACCATTCTGATTAAAACTATCAAGAATTTATTATAAATACACATTTACCACTGTTCCCATGTCAAATAAAATAAAAATGCAACATGCTCATTATGTATTAGTAATTTCTCTAAAGAAGCTTCCTTTTCATAGCAATTTAATTGTCCTAAAGATGTTTAATTGTCAATAAACAGATTGTCTAAGAGACTGTAATTTATTAAACATCTTGAGCACAATTACATTGCTATGAGAAGGAAGCGGCGGTGGAAGTAATGGGATAAATGCGGGCAGTCTCAGCAGGGCCACAAAACTTCTTGAGAGAAATTACAAATACCATAATGAGCATGCTTCCTTCTCCCCCGCCCCCCATCCCGCCACACTGGAACGGTGGTAAATGTGTGTTTCTGATGGTTTTAAAAACCACTCATAATCCCATATTTATTACTGTATTCCTACTGTGAATAAATACCACACATACAGTATGCTGTAGTTCAATCTGGCTGAAGCATATCTCTTATTGTGGCTCTAACTTTGTGTGCATCACGAACTTGCTGGGATCAGATTCCTGCAATCCTGGTGCAATCAAAATTCCTACTGGTTTTACTAGGAATGCAGGTACTCAATTGAAGAGAAAGTATTTAGCATTTTTATCTCCCTTTTTAGGTTCTTGTTGAAATGTTTTGTTTTAATTTTGCAGCATTAGCTGTAACTGTATATTTTCCTTTAGTTACACTGCTAATTTTTCCACAGAAGCATTACAAGCACAAATAGGAACAAAATATCTGTGTGGTTTAGAATGCAAAAAATGCATAGATTTAGAAAAAAAGGCATAGGGACATTCATTCAGGAAATCCTGTGTTCTGACTTTTAATTTATGGATGTAGCCCAATCTGCTGTTCAAATGTGCCTGCCTCATGATGCAGGGATACTACCTGGTCACTGGGGAACAAGGTGTTAACCAAGATCAACTTTGCATAGGCACTATGGGGAAGAACTATAAACTAGATGCTCGGAAGACTAAGGGGAAGAACCCCTGTAGGGGTGACAGGATTGGGTTAAACCCTAAGGCTGTAGAGTTTTCTGATTTATTTTCTGCTTATGGTAATTAATTTCACTTGCTACTGTTGCATTAGCCCTTGACGAAAAAAGCCCTTGCTGGATGCTTCTGTATTTTTCTCTGCTAAGTCATTTCACTATCTTACAGGGCTAATCCTGCAGCCTTTCCACACAGAGCTCCCACTGAAATCAAGAAGGAGTTTGCATGTGAAAGGACTGTAGGATCTGTAAAGAATGTGATTGAACATCATTAGTTTTAAAGTGATGCTGGTCATTGGTCCAACCTGTACTTTCCCAAATCTATTGTGTTCTGTCCACTTGAGAGGAAGGATGGTCCAGTGGTTAGGGCATTAGCTTGGGAGACCTGGGCTCAAGTCCCTGCTGTGCCACTGACTTCCTCTCTGACCTTGGATAAGTCACTTAACTTCTCTGTGATTTAGTTCTCTACCTGTAAAACAGGGATAATAGTGCTGCCCGACCTCACAGGGATGTTGTGAGGATAAATAAAGACTGTGAGATGCTCAGATAGCATGGTAATGAGGGTCATACAAGTACCATAGACAGACAGACTTTCCACACAGTATTATTTTAAATGCCCTAAAATAAACGGCATCATGATTATAAGTTTGCTTGAATTCAGTCTAAATCTTCAATGTACACCATAGTCCTGTACTCAGTTTCTCCAGCTCTTATCTAGAGCCTGATACAACTTCCACTAAAGCCCATTAATTTCATCAGGATTTGAATAAGGCCCTTCTTTCCTAATGAAAGAACCAAATACGATTCAAGGTAAAGTATTATTTTAATGCAGGCCCTGAATCCTGATCTGACCATAGCGTGTTTTCAACAAATTATGTTTTAAGACTTACGATGGTTCTTCAGACACCATTGCTCCTTCTTCCAGCTCTTGTGCCTGCTTGTACCATGGCAGTTTAGCTTCCACAGGAAGTTTCTCTAGAGAACATACACAGGCACATGAAAACAAAAACCATATAGCTATGCACACTGCTTTGTTTCTGTAAGTGACTATATCTGCATTTCTGTAATGTTCTTGTGTGTATGGATGTACATGTGCATACTGAGCAGCACAGAAGGGGCAAGGGAGAGAAGAGACACTCCACTATGGTACAGAATATATAGTCTATAAAGAAATATAGAGTTTCTGTGAAGAAAGAGAGTTTGTTTTTATAATGCTAGAATGGCAAATTAAATGCCATTTTAGAGGAAAGCCAAGTGGTCTACACAGGTGGGCACTTTAGCAAAGTATTTTTCAAAAACTCTTCTAACATCCAGGGGGAGAATCAGATTTTCATCTACACTGCAGAGCTACAATATTCATGATGGCTGTTTTGGCTTTGAGTTCTGTATTTGCACAATAACTGCACTGCCAATAATTGTACTTCCCACACGGAGACAAATAATTGGAAATTGCAGTGCATCAAATTCATCTGCTCAAGTAACAAAGGGGGAAGTCCACTTTTGTGCAGGGGGCCAGTCCAGGCCTAGGCATGAATTAACCTCACATAAGCCCTCAAACTCAGGCTTATTAGGAGCCTAAGTAATACATAAGCCCTTGTGAAGAAGGCACCCCAAAAGACTTTCCACGGAGTGTGTGTGTGGGGGGGGGGGAGGGGTGAAGCAATCTCCATATTAACATTGTTGCTGACTCTAACCTTGCATAGCCCTGTGTGTATCCTTAAATTTTACAGCCTCATAAAGTACATTAAATTCACTTTTGATAGATTATGACATTGAAGAAAATCCACATCTGATGAGTGATACTGCAAGAAATAGAGAATCCAGAGTGAAATAGTTCAGTGATGTTCTCTGACTCTAAGCTTATCAGTTCATCAGCTATGTGGATTTAAAAAAATGGGTTGGATATTTTTTCTGTCATTTTTGATAGAAAACAGTACAGATGCTTTTTATTCTCCAAGATCTGCACTAAATATAATAAGTTGCTTTTGGGGAAAAAAAAAGTCCACGTTATGAGCCAAATTCTACTTTCACAGCAGTGTGAATTCGGAGTATCTGCATTGAAGTCAATGGAGCTGTTCTGGTTTTAGAGAGCAAATTTGGCACAATTTCTCTGAAATCAGCTCTGCATTTCTTCTGAGTAATTTGTGTCAGGATTAGGAAAAAACAGATGAAAATACAAAGAGTGGCATTCAGCCCTATACAGAGAACCAGTGCAGGGTCTATGTACCATCTGAGTTCCATTGAAGCCTTTTGGGTTTAAGTGGCAGACACACCTCAAGCTGGCCTGCCGCAGAGAATTAATTTCACCCCAAATACATGAGAATTTTCAGGAACTTGGTGCATACACTGGAATTTTTGCATAAACATGCAAACTACTGAAACCGTCAGCAGCAACATTAGCAATGTACAGGGATCATAACTTGCCATTTGATTTCACAGCTACTGCAGCTTCAGCTGAGCAATACAAAGATTTTTGGGAGTAAACCAGTGGCTGGGAAGAAAGGGTGCCGTAACAGTTATTATGCCTTCACTTCCAGAAATAGCAGGCCAGGATTCTACTCTGATATATTTATTAGTGACATTTAAGGATGAATATGTGCCCGCACAGCTTTTAGTTTACCGCATTTGTTATCCAAAATATGTAAGAGACATTTTTATTTATATACCATATAGCTTATTTTTATGAGGTTTGGAAAGCCAGATCTTACTCTTTTGCTTTCCTTTTTGAATGCAAAGTCTTGTAAAAAGCAGTTTGTGCTCTTCTACACAGCTGACTGCAAAGTGACTTTTATTTTAACCTTTCCTTGTTATATGTTGGTGGGGAGAAGTAGGTAAAATCAGTTCCAATAAACTGAACTGTAAAAAAAAAAAACACTTCTGTATTAGAGATGTTCACTTTTATTAAATAACTTGTTACAAATAATGAAACAAAACCAATTTCTAAAGTAATTTAGTGAAGAAACCAAGACTTTGGAGATAAAACAAAAGCCCCCTGCTTTTACAATAGATTCATGTTTTTAGCCTAATACAAACTCTTAAACTCTATGCCTTGTGTTGTGCAGGAGGACAACTATATGAACACAAAACCAACAAGGAGTCCGGTGGTACCTTAAAGACTAACAGATTTATTTGGGCATAAGCTTTCATAGGTAAAAAAACCCCCACTTTTCAGATGCATAGCATGCAGAGCCACTGAAGAAGTGGGTTTTTTACCCACGAAAGCTTATGCCCAAATAAATCTGTTAGTCTTTAGGTGCCACCAGACTCCTCGTTGTTTTTGTGGATACAGACTAACACGGCTACCCCTCTGATATATGAACATCCTTCCTAGCATTAGAAAACACAAATCACTATTTAACTTAGGGATATCTTAAATTTTCCCTAGGATTGTCCAGTACATTATGACACACCTAAGAGCTTTAATGAGCTAAGAGTGGGATAAGTTACAGCAACTGCATACCCTTCATTTTTATTTAGCAGACGTATATTAAGATAAAGACTTGCTCTATATTTTTTTCTTATAGTCTTGACCAGCCATAATCTCTGATTTTCTGCCCTGTGGTAATCCATTTTCAGCATAAAGAAAAGGAGGACTTGTGGCACCTTAGAGACTAACCAATTTATTTGAGCATAAGCTTTCGTGAGCTACAGCTCACTTCATCAGATGCAATGTAGCTGTAGCTCACGAAAGCTTATGCTCCAATAAATTGGTTAGTCTCTAAGGTGCCACAAGTCCTCCTTTTCTTTTTGCAAATACAGACTAACACGGCTGTTACTCTGAAACCTGTCATTTTCAGAATGCAATGGCAGGCTTTGTTGAAGCGTTGACTAGCAGATGCATACTTTGCCACAGGTATTGACTCGTTCAACTGTAATTTATAATTTTACATTTATTAAGCAAATCACCTCTTTTTGGATAGATTTCTAGCAAGTTTCAGCCCTGCAAGTGCATGAGGCAGGAAACTGTACCACCCGGCACTTGAAAGGGCAACTGTGAAAGAGGAGGCATTTGACCTGAAAAGGACAGCAGAGTGTATTTTTAAAATCACACCAAGCCCTCCCCACACCCAGAACAAAACTCTGCCAAACCAAAATGCTACACTGCATGCACAATTCTCCCCTCTGGGGGGATAAGAGAAAGAATGAACTATATGTCACAGATGTTGGTCACATCACTTAATGTGCTCCTGGAAGGCACTCAGATATTATGTTGATGAGGGTGGCATAAGAACCTACAAAGAACAGGACAGAACAGAATACTGGATCAGAAGAATAGCTTTGCCATGTGGATGGGGTTCCATGGGAGCCCCACCAGCAGAGGTTTCAAGGGTTGGCATCTTGGCATTGGTGCTCTCACTTATCATTAGCCATTGAGTATGGAAATAAAAATTCCAACTTTCTTCTTTCCATTTGTGGTCACTAAAAAGTTATAGGCCACTTTTATTTGATTTCAACCATTCAAGTGCCCTTAATGTGTATTATCCGTAGTGATTTACAAAATTATATTAGTTTTATTTCTGAGTGGATCATGTTGGGTCTGGAGCCTCCAACTCAGAGAAACGAAAGTCATATTTATCGTATTTTAGCCAGGAAACTTTCCATTAAAAATAAACTGACCTACACACATCACACGCATGAGAAAGTTATATCCATGTGGTTATATCCATATATATCCATCTATGTATAATTATAGAACCATGTGATAATTTATCAAGGACCTTTGCTGCACCTGCCCCCTGCCCATTACTCCATTTACCCCAGGATTTACTCCTACATTCCAACCCCATGAGCAGCTTCAAATAGCTGCCTTATAGAAATCAATATGCCTCAGCAACATTTCCTCCTCCCCTAAACCAAAGTGGGGAATTCCTCCCAATATCACTTGCTGTCTGAGGCTCAAGACAGGGACTATTCAATTCTGCAGCAGCAAGGGGCTCTCTACACATAAAACTGTTGTGATTTTCAAGTCTGTACAATCTTGTAGCCTGGCTAGTAATAGGAGCTTCTATATGGGACATAGAGCGCTTGCTTCTAGCTTAGTTAAAGCTGCTGATTTGTCTGAATGCTGTTTAAACCTATGGGTAAGTTTAAACCAGTCACTTTAAACATGTTTGTTTCCCTTTAATAAAGCACTATGGACCAACTTTAGCCCTGATATAGTCAGTGAAGTTGCACCCACTTACATCAGGGTTGAATTTGGATTTTTATCTAGGTTGGTGGATCACCAACTGACAGTAATAAGATCTGTTTTGTTTTGAAAGATCTACAGGTTGCCAGCATTTCAAACACCACCACTTACATCCAAACTGGTACAGCAATGGCAGAGTCTCTTGATAGAAAGTCATGAATTACTGCATTCAGACAGACTTGGGAACTTGCAGCCAACAAGCATAAACAGCTCCTTAATGTGGCAGAGCTGTAAAGATTCATCTGCCTTTTTACCTTTGGGTTTGTAGCAAGGAGTGGGAACAATGCATTCTTCTTTTATATGAGGCTTTGTTTTAGGGCTGCAGCCTCCTGTATGCATCCCTCTGTGATCAATGCAGAGCACCACACGGTATCTCAGCCCCTGGCCACACGTTACAGTGCACTGAAAGAAGAAAAGAAAAAGTACAAAGTAGCTTTTTTTTTTTTTTTTTAAACCACCCTGTGGGAAAAATGGAGTATACAGCAATAATGTAACAGCATCAGAGGGAAAAACTTGGATCAGAAACAGCCCATACTGGCCCATAAATTACTTGTTTGATACTGGTTAGGGACAAAGTTGACAAACAATCGCTGTTTTTTTCCTTTCTGTTCTGCACAATTGTTTGGTTTAGAGATTCAGCGGCTGGATTTCTCTCTCAGTGTCACTCTACTAACTCTCTCAGCATTGGTCACTTGGCCTCTGGCCATCAGTCCCATACTGGATGTATTCACTAACACCTTGTCAGTTTCAGCTGTGGCCACGTCTGCTCTGCTTGGACCAGGCACTGGAACTTATGGGTTAACGAGTGTAACAACTAAATATTTTGGAACATGGCACTGTATAGAGTGGGAAACAATTTGGGCTTTAAACTCCATGCATTTTCTCAAGCTGAATTCTTTTATATGGCATGTCATTTCCCCCAGGATAGTGGGTTTCTGAAGCTGCAGGCACCAACCAAACAGGAGAGAAGCAAAGAGTAATAATAATGCTTTGCACATATCTACACTCTTTAATCTGAAAATCACCAAGCACTTAACAGATAATAACCTACCACACCTCACATTTTGGTAAGGTAAGTAAGTTTTTAAAGTCAGTTTTATCGGTGAGGAAACTCAGGCATAAAGAGGATAAGTGACTTGACGAAGCTCAGACCTGTTGGAATAGGACCCAGACCTCTTTTTCCTCCAGTCTTGTGACTTCAGCACAAGTCTTAAAGAAAAAGAGGTGAGTCAGGGTTAGGCAAGCAGGTGGTGACTATGGTACTAAGCAGTGATTATAGAGCAAAGACTTTCATGACTATGCTTGCATGGCTGCTTATATTTCAGACTGCAGAGCAGCAGTCCAGGATATTTGACTTGTGGACAAAGAGTACAAGATAAATGTGTATTAGAACGTGTCCATTAACAGCTTGTGTCTCTCTGCCTGTGCATATATGTTTCTATTTCATCATTTATATCTGATCGTTATTTAACATGACCGATCCGATTTGCTCTTCCATCATTCTCCTCAGCTAATGTTATAAATCCTGAGTATTCACTCTGCAGTATTCACAAATACCATTGCTTGAAGCAGGAAGATCGGAAAATTCCACAAGGTAAATAAGCTTAGTGGCCATTCTTATTCTACTAAATTCTCACACACATTAACAAAACAGAAGATTTGTTCCCAATGCCTGGCTTAAATACAAACAACAACAAAATCCAACAAAGAACTGTGTACCGGAGACCACTCCTGGGCCAGCCATTTTGGGCAGTCAAATATGTTACAGGGCTGGACAATGGGCATCTTTGGCGTGTACATGCACTTCCACTCCTCCACAGGGCTGATGTGCCCCTGAATGTCTTCCTCCACACAAGAGACTGTGCGGCTCTGAATGCCCCCTCCACACGAGGAGGAGCACGCTGTCCATGGAGTACTCTCCCATCTGCAAAAAAAAAAAAAAAAGGCATCAATGAAGGGGTAAAAACACCCCAAATGCTTGACCTTTCCTTGTGGTCTTTTTTTGATAAGATTATTATTATGAGCAAGACTTGTTCATTTATATGTATGGCCCCAACAACCACACACTCTTATATCTGGCTCCTTTAAAAGTTTTCTTGCCGTTAGTATTTAATTTACAAGATGCTCCCTTCTCCCCCACCCACCCAGTAGTCCAGGTTATTGCCACAGAGAATTTAATTTATGTTAATTAGGGAGACTATTATATCTTGGCACTATGTGCCACATATTGGGAGACCCAAGTTCCAAGATGCTGAAAGCTCAGGGCTTGTCTACACTTACAACGTTACAGCAGCATAGCTGCACTGCTGTAATGTACATACTACCTACACTGATGGGAGGGATTCTCTCCTCAGCGTAGGTAATCCACCTCCCTGAGAGGCGTTAGCCAGGGCAGAGAAGAATTTTTCTGTTGACCTAGTGCTGTCTAAATGGGGCCTTAGGTCAGCTTAACGCCTCTGCTCAGGGGTGTGGATTCTTTTATACCCCTGACTGATGTAATTGAACCCACTTAATTTTCTGCTATAGACCAGACCTCAGTGTGCTATGAAGTTGATGTCCTTATTTGCTTTGCAAGAGGAAGGAGCAATGCCATCCTTAGCTGCTACAGCCATCATATGCACAGTGGGTGAGGGGAAAACAGAGATGGAAGCAATTTTCTCATGAGAATAAAATGACTGTGTGATGAAGTGTGCGCGAATGGGGGATAAAGCTATAGCTAGCGTTACACTGATATGGTTAGTGACTATTAGAGAAAGACAGGTTAGTTTGGGAAACACTGTTGCTTTTGTCTGACTGCTATTGAGGTAACAAGAAGAACTTTTTAATTTGATATATAACAAGTGACATTTTGTTGAGAAAAAACAGTGAAATGTGTGTGCTCTGGCTGCTTTATGAGAATGTCTATATATATACATATACACATAGATTTCAGAAAAATATATATACTGTATATATGCATAAACAATGTGTGTGTGTATATAGAATACACACACACACACACACACACACAGAGTGACATTGCTTCTCTTGAAGTAGCTGTATTAGCCATTGTCACACATAGGATCAAAGACTAGATGGGCCCTGGGTCTGATCCCGACTGGTGATTCCTGTATATCTGCCCACACAGTGAATATATATTAGAGCTAGTCAACAGTTTTCAGTGAAACATTTTTCCTGGAGAAAATGCTTTTTCAATTAAAATGAAAGTTTTTGCAAAAAACGAAACAAAACAAAGTCTGCTTTTTGACAAACAAAAACAAAAATTTCATTTTTAGGAAAAACCAATATCTCCCCCCTCTCCAGTCTTTATTCCAGGAGATAAAAAAATAAGCAATAAAAAAGCAAGAGTGGTGCTCCCCAATCAAAACAAAATCAACATTTTAATTAAAAACAAATGAAAAAATTCACGGAAAAATTCAGACAGGATGAAAAATTTTCAGTTCTTTTCAAATGTTTCACCAACTACACTTACCTTTTTCTGACTAGCTCTAATGTATGTATATCTGCACCCACACTAGATAATGGCTGATTGTATTGTATAAAGGTTTTATTGACAACAGTGTGAAATGGCCACATTGTTTACCAGTGGCAAAGGCATCGATGCGTTATGTAGTTTATCTCAAAGGAGTGCCAATAAAACTTTTCCACCACACCCTCTATTCTGCAACTGCTGCAGAAGTTAAAGAAAAGGTATTCTTAGAACTTAGTTTTAAAATATTTTGCTAGGAAGTCTTTCCAGTAATGCTCCCCTTGTAGAGCCAGAGTTCCATAGTTACGCTGAGCCCACCTATACAAGCCTAAAATTGGAATTAATAAACAGTTAGAAAGCCTCTAATAATTACCTACAATAATTTTTCCATACATAAAAGTGTGATGATTAGAGTCTGATATCTTGGGACTTTCCATGGGAATCCAAGTCTGCCCTTTTACGGCAACTTTCCAGCTGCTTTGTTTTACCTCAGCACTACAAAGCAGCACAAACAGCTGGCCAAGAATTTGGCCCTCAGGTACTATTCCAATATAAAATTGTTGAAAGAGTTTCTGGGATCAAGGCTCTCAAAGCAGAGGTCACAGTCACCAGAGACTTAGGGAGGATGTACCAACTACCAGGAATTTGGGAAGAAAGTGGTGCCCAATGAGGACTCTGGTACCACAAGAGTGTATTACATGCAATAGACCACGTCATCCTCTCTCCATGATAAAAAGCATGGCAGAGGGAAGTTCCTACACGGATTCCCTTCCAGACCTCATCTCAACGTGCTCCCAACCTTTCAGATCCAGTGGAGCCTTGCTACCTACTCCACTTGGTGGTAACCAGCCATGCAGTGATTAGGCTACACAGAAAAGACAATATAGCCTATAGAGCTTACAGCCCCAAATTGTCTTCCCTCTGCATCCCCCTGATCCTGGTCCTGCCTCAAGTCTTCCTAAATCCTCCCTCTGGTCCTTTAACCTCAGCCCATTCCTTCCCCAAATGGATTCTAGACCTGTCACATCTAGAGTGGGAGTGGTGATGCCAAGGAGGGGTCTGACCATGATCCATGCACAGAGGGTTCCAATCCATATGTGGATTTGGGGTGAGGGAAATGATACCACCCATGTGTAGAATGGTGGTGGGGTTGAAGTAGTGGATCTAAAGGGATTGTTACAGGTTGAGACCAAAGCCCGGAAAAGCTGAGAAGCACTGCCTCAAGCCTTTGATCATGTCCGATGGACTGATATTTTCTTTCTTTTTGTGTTGCAGAAAGGCAAATACTTCAGGGCATGTCAACCCTTTATTCTGGATTTTCTTTAACTGTTAGAAAACCTCTGTCTAGCCGCCAGGTTCAGGATGCTTTTTGCTCAAATACAGTCCTTCCACTGCTGAGTGATGCTGGTTCATCCTGTGATCTATAAAATTCTGTCTCTTTCTCTCTTTCTGTCAATGTTCAAGAATTTTGTTCATAATGAAGACAAAATACTTTTTTACCACAAGACACTCAGATCTTATTAATGACTGTCCTTTACAACCCTTTTTAAATCTTTTGTAAATTTTTGAGATTGGTGGGTTTTTGTTTTATAGGAAAGAGAAAAGAGGTTTCCAGAAATGAGGGACAGAAAATGGATATGTATTATATAAGAGCATAAAATATAGCGAGATAAATGACCAATATATTAACTCTGTGTACATATATGTAAACATGCAGCCGTGGGAAAAAAAATCCCTAACCCACCCAAAATATGTATCTAACGTTAGTAGGAGGTGAGCAAGACAGGCATTTGGCATATAAATATAAACTATACAAATCATACATCAATGGTGACAATGTAAGCGGCAGCCACAAATGCAGGCAAGAGCTGCTGTCCTCCATGTCCTCCTAATTTCAACTGGGTGGTCTGTTGTGTGGTCCTATACCATATTTCAAATCTGAATGCGCTGCCTTTTTTCACACACTACAGCAGAGCTCTGTGGTACCTGTGTTAGGACTCACTGTGGTTGGGGAGGGATCACTTTCTCAGCGAGGTGAGATAAACACAGTGGCTAGTAGGTGCCTTTAGTGCTAGAAGGCCCAATGACACAATAAACTAACAGAAGGAAACAAGGCAGAAAATAATACTATTTCAAGCTATTGCCTCAAGACAGTGCAGATCCTGGTTATTGATGGGGTTGCTTCAACTGGGAGACCACCTTTGTTAGCGCTTTTACTCTTACTCTATTATTAATACAATCACCAATGTAACAGACCTATATTTCCTGTTCTTTTATATTCCAGGTTTCTAATGACACACAGAAACATGGCTAATTACATGAGATTTTCAAGCACCCCCTCATGCTTTAAAGACATTCTTAACCATAAAGTAATTAATAGGATATGTCAGAACTCTCTTGCATTGGCCATATTTTGATGGAGAGTTAATTCATCGCAAGCTGAGGTGTAAATTTATGATGCTCTCGCTTGCTGCACACTAACTGCTGTGTGGAACTTGCTACGGCACACTAAAAATTCCATAGTGCGCTTACTTTTAGTAGATGGTAGCAGGGTCCACTCAGCCAATAAGTGCGTGGCAAGCTATAGCACTGTAGATTTACATCCCAGCTTGATCCTGCAAATACATGTGAGTACATTTACCCATGGAAGGCAGGTTGGGTGCAAACATATGTAAAGAAAAGTTACTCATGTGGAAATGTTTGCAGGATTGGGTCTTTGAACACTATTCATTTTAAAAAATAGAACCCCTCACAATTAATAAGCTTGTGACTTGTTTAAAAGAGAATTTAATATACAAAATGGAACTACAGAATCTGGAGTTCTACTTTCATAGCAATACAATACACTATGGCACATGCTAGATACTTTTGAGGGGGAAAAGTTGAACAGTTAGTTAGCCACAAAGCCACTGGTTTAGGTACCATTCATGGAAGGGCGGTGGGGGGAGGGAGGTGGAGACGAAAAAGAGACACAGATATCCAGTAGACAATCAGACTGAATTACTGCTTCAACTTACTTTGATGTAATTTTAGCTCTGCTTCAATAGTCTTTATAGCAACAAGTTTAGCGCTTGAGCAACTCATGATTATTCCATAGGAGAGTTCAGAACAAGGGGCAGGCAGCATCAATTGTCTTAGTTCTACAGAAAAGCAGCAATGCAGGAGAAAAGCAGTAAACTTATTTGCTAATCCTAGCGTCTGGTTGATTGTTTTACATACCGAGGAAGGGGATGGTAGAGGTCATAGGGCATGATCTGCTTGTATCCATCACTGTTAGGAACAATAATGCCAACCCTCTGAGTAGAAGGTACACACAATAAAACAAACACTAAATGATTACATTATACAATTGTTTTTACACGGTATTAAAAAACTGTCAAAATATTCTATCCACATTGCTAATGTTTTGAAAACAAAACATAAGAAGCCTTTCCAGAGCAATCCTCACAGTTCGCAAGTCGTTCTATAAGTTAACCATTTAGCATACCAATTAACCCTCTGCTTCTTATTAAGCTACCCACCATGTTACCAAAAAGTTGGTTCCACTGTTACAAATGACACCAATAAACACAAATACTCTCTTCACTTACAAAGTAATTACATGCCATGAGGGATCATTTTTATTAGTACTCGGAAAACTTATACATTTAGAGCTTGATTCAAAGTCTGTAGAAGTCAATGAAGAGACTCCCATTGACTTCAGTGGGCTTTGGATCAGGCCCTTACTTAACATTTATATGGTTGTTTCTGCCCTTCAGATGAAAGAGTCCACTAGATTTACAGCAACTTGTGATGCGTAACTAAAGGCATTTTCCATGCAGGGTCCTTGACACTGGGATTCACATCTCTCCAACCCAAAGAAACCCAATTATGTTCCTCTTCAGCCCTCATTTATTTACTTGGGCCTTTTTGGAAGAAGTGTTTTGTGGAGTGAGGAAGACAGCTGTTGTATTTTTTGTTGTTGTTGTTTAGCGACCGTTCTTTGGGGAGTTTATGGTGTTCTTGTCGGATATATTATTATTCATGTGTCTATAGATTGTGATAGGCACTTATGTAAATCAAAATATGTAAAACTGAGGATATCATGCAATATATGAAAATGTATGAAGTTGATTATTAAAAGGTGGACAGTACCTAGGAAATGGCCACTTGGGACGGGAGCAGGAAGGTCTAACTAGAGGGGTCTTATTTGGTTAGCCCAGGATTTTAAGTTTTGCTGGGGGGGGGATGGGGTTCGAAGAGCTTCTTACCTGGAGTGACTCTCTCCCTGATCCTTGGTCAGTGTTCCCAATGTCACCCATATACCCATTATCATTTTGTCAGGCTGGGAACCTGGCAGAGGCTTGAAGTAGGAGCTCACGGAAGAGCTGAAGTAAGTCACATTGGAATGAAGGAGCTGGATGTGGAGGCCAAGACAGGGATGATTTTAGAGAGGCTTTGATAGCTGAGAGAGGTTGGGTGAAAGGGGATGAGGGCATCTGTTAGGGGAACAGGTAAGAATAAAGAATTGAGAACAAGTATTCTTCATCCTCAGTGCAATGTACTGAAGAGAAGTTCTCCAAGAGTTAAAAAGGGTCTTGGCATGTTCAGGCTAAAAGGTTCTGTTCTCCTTTTGATGGGCAGAGTGTTTATGTGGATTATTCCTCCACAATGGGAGAATAGATCCCACTGTACTTCCACAGTGAGGAGTCACAGCTAGGTCAGTGTGATGGTATTTTCCAGCTAATGCATTAGAAGAAGCTGAAGCCACTAAAGTGTGTGTGATGAGAACTGGACTGCTCTCTGTCAGGTTAACAACTCTCTGAAATGACAGCAGTTGTGTGTACGTGCACTGAGTGGAGTCTGTGCCTCCCCATCGACTTAAAATCTGAGAGAGTTACAAGATTTGGGTAGGGTTGGAAATGGGAAGGATGGATCAGTTAAAGTTTGTTCAGTAAGCAAATCATTCCAGTTTTGTTCTGTCTGACGAGAGAGTGGTACTGATTTGGGAAGCTCTTGGTAATATTTTAAATATAATGGACATTTTGTCATGCTCTTGCAAAGTACACCCTCCTTCCCCACCACTCTACTAGTGCTGCTCCACTCAAAAGTTGTTAGCTCACTCCAGCTCCTCAACCTGCTGAGAAACATTCAGGAAAAGATTAATACCAAGTCCAGAACTGAAGCAATTATACTGCCAACGAGGCTACACTGTTTGAGAGCCAAACGAGTTTCAAATCCTAATTTGTAATTCTTTGCCGTAAACAATTAAAACTTTTTAATAAGTTTTTCTTCTAATAAAACTTGGTTTGAACAGTTAGTCAGGAGACTGAGTCTTGAGGTTACACACTGCCATCCCAGGGTTGTTGTGAAGATTAATTAGTTAATGTTTGTAAAGCACTACAGAAGGGCCAGGCAACACTATTATTCGGGATGTACAGAGTATTTGACATTGTAAAGCATTTTGGGGCCACAGTTTGTACTTTCATTCACATGTAATTTGTATCATATTGTTTATTAAATTGCTGTGTATTTGGGAAATATTGTCAAAGGACCATAATACCATCTCATAAATTCTGCAGCATAACTACCAGAAAGAAGCTGAAAAATTTATTGAACTAAACCCCAAGATGTGATTTTTCAAAGCAGAACGTATTTATCCTATTTCTTTGACAACTTTTACTACAATGACTTGTTTTGCCATTGTTATATGCTGACTAAATTCCCACCCCCCCCTCCCCCCCAAAAAAACTACCTAAGGGTATGTCCACCCTGCAATTTATGGTGTGACAGCAGTATGCATACACATACACACACACCCCAGCTAGCTTTGATTTAGCTAGTGTAAACACAATAGCAGTGAAGATGAGGCACCATGAGCTGTAGAAACCCACCAGCTGGATGTGTACTTGAGTGGCTAGCTTGTACAGCAATTTTGCTGCGAATGATCAAAGCTAGCTCAGGTATATCTAAAGGTGCTGTAGTCACATCTCTGACTGCAGTGTAGACATATCCTAAAATTGGTTCTCATACAGAAGTATGCATACTCCTGGGGGTACACAGAGGTCATGACCCTGGGGGGGCTTGCAGGATGGGTTTATGTGGGGGTCGCAAGTGCAGGGCCAGCGTTAATGGGTGGCAAGTAGGGCAATTGCCCGGGGCCCAGATACCCTAAGTTACATGCTTCAGCCCCGGGTGGTGGGGCTCAGGCTTCAGACTCCTGAAAGGGGTACAGTAGTCAGGAAAGGTTGAGAACCACTGTCCCAAAAGACACAAAACAATACAAGACGATTACTGTAAAATAACTGCATCCTAGCTAGCCAGTTTACACAACATACCTGTTGCTACCAATCAAAACAAACAAAAGCAATTCACAAAAAATACATTTACTTAAAGATCTTCTCTACAGTTCTGAATTGTCTGGTTTCTGACTCAGGAAAGGGTATTTCTGGGTTTTTAAAACTCTTATTCATCAGTTGTAGCATCATTGAAATTAATGATGGAAGAGATCTACAGCCAAATCATGGACCCTGACTCTGTTCACTTTGTGCTACTCTGACCATGCCAAGGGGAGGCAAAGCTGGTCTAGGAGGGCAGTTGGATATTCCTCTGATGTAATGGAATCCCTAGGTAGTGTGAAGCTGGCATAACTAGCTCTGTGCCACCTGCTCCCAATTTTGGGCATAAGGAGCAAGTGGGAGTGGGTGGAAACAGAGTAAAACATGCACCAGAGGCAGAGAAGTCTCCAGGGAACTGCTTCAGCCAGTATAATTTAAAGCAGACCCCAAACTGCACTAAGATATACTGAGGTCCAAATGGAAAAGTGTCTTGACCCACCATTCCTCACCCCCCAGTTCCCGCACCAAGCACAGCTCAACTAGACTCAGGGGACTGGGCCCAAAACTTTTAGGTGACATTTAATAATACTTTGGACCTCTTATATATAGGGGGAGAGAGAGAAAGCTTGTTTTATAAGGCTGCTGTGGGAGAAACAAATGGGACTTTTCATGCACCACATGGCACAATCCTACTCTGGAAGGGGCATAGGCATGGACTAGATTTTAGAAGACTGTCCTCTCTCTAACATGTAGAATTATGTTTTCTCCCAGTTGACACTGCAGTTTTGCTTTATTCTACATGGAACCTAGCAGTTTGCTTTTTGAGCGTATCTGCCCTGCTGCCTTGGGAATGAAACGTGCCAAGGCTGGGTGCACTACAAAGGCTGGCTATCTACCTAGAATGTTCCTTTTTCACTGTTAAAGCCACAGAGCTGGTTCTAGAAGCTGCTGCTTTTCAACTGTATGGAAAAGCAGCACTGCACTTCCATGGGATGAATCTACCTTCTAGCCACCTGGGGCCCTATTCAGGGCTATGTCAGGGCCGGTGCCGACACAGGGATACAGAGCAGGCAGTTTGCCTCTCCCCCTGCTCATGGTGAGCAGGGCCTTGAACAGCCCCTGGGTGCTGGTTAAACCAGACCTCGGGGACACAGAATATCTGGGACACGAGCCTGTCCTGGCCATAACCCCTCTTGCCTCTGATCTGTTGCCCCTGGCATCAAGGGCTCATGTGGAAGTGGCTTGGAATATACCCGTGGGGGGAAATTTATACCTCTGGAGACAGTCGAGCATTGCTGATGCGAAGGGCCAGAGGCTAATGATGACTAAGCCCTGGTCTTTTTGCCTACTATTGGTTTAAATCAGAGATATTCCATCTTTTAGGGGCTGGAGCCCCTCCTTTGTGGTGGATCTGCACCTGGGCCACATATGTACCTAGAGCAATTGCTGCATCCCACCTCTTCCTCATTCCCTCCCTTTTCTCATTTTTAATGATTTTGCTGTCAATTTGTGACTCTTATTCTTCCCTTTCCGTGCCCCTCTGTGATGCCACCACTTCTTAACCTCTCTCTCTCTCTCTCTCTCTCTCCAAGTTCTCTCCCCAGATTCCTCTCCCCACCAGTTTCCCTTCACTGTTACTCATAGATCCCTCCCAGTAGGAAAAATGTGGCCAGGGACAATTCTCCTAATAATCAAGAACTCTGGGGTCTGCTAGGTCCCCAGCCAATAGACAGTTCTTCTGGCTTGGGGGTGAATTACAAGGGTGTTTTCTTCTTAAGACGTGCGTGAAGCATGGATAGAAAAATCACTGAAAACTCACCAGCATGCATATCAACCCCCCAGCTGTCCCAAATTTCTGGCTGATGTTTAGTGTAATTCCCTGAAAAAAGTGTTAGCCCCTTTCTCCTCCTATAGTCCCCTGGTCTCCCCTCCATCCCTTGTGGCTTAACTCAT